ACGGCTTCGATTCGGAAGAGCGTTGACCAAAGGATGAGACTTGCTAGCAGCGATAACTTTATTTCGATCTGAGACGAAGGTGCACTGATCAAGGTAAACAGTGTACCTACATGTACATGTACATGTATCCTTTGATGGCTTGAGGCGACTCTGGCGCAAACGAAGAGAAACAGGACGGGCGGATGATGTTGAGGAGACACTGCGTTACCGGCCCAAATCATATATGCTTTTAAGGTTTACAGCGTTGCTACTAGAAGCCACGACGGTACTTTCGATTTTTACGAGCTGGTCAAACAGTTCAAGCTTTCTACATGAGCCCAGATCTAAGGAAGTCTCGTCTAGTTTACCAATGTCATCAAAGAATCACGGAAGCGCGCTCTAAAGCATCGGGACATTGAGATATTAGAGCTTATATTGGCCTTGAGATTCCTGAACTAGCGAGCCAGCTTATATTATCGGCGACCACCTCTTCATTCTTTTGGGCCCAAAATCGGTCCCAACGTGAAGGGTATTCTGGCTGGAATAGCGCCTCGGCGGTTATCTTTAAAGACTTGGATAAGGCCTCGAGATCTAGCCCTTACAACGTAACTACATGGATGGGCATTTACCGATTCGTTATGGATATATATATACACACTAGTCAATACATGTAGTTCTTCTATCTTCCCTTGCAGCATGGTGATGGATTATTCCAGGGAAGAGACTGATGGCGCGACTACTCCTCATAATCACTAGACGCGTTATCGGCTGTGCCACTTAGCCGCTGTAGACGGGCAAACCTTCAGCCGCGAGGCGGAAGGTTCAGTCAACATATAAATCGCAGATTAACCGCTAGCAATTACTGGCTATTAGTGTTAATCCACGCAACGCTTTCTGCATAGGAACTTACCGGCGCTGGAATGGAAGATGCTGGTTGACAAAGACTCCTCGAGACGAGTGATTACCTGTGTCGCTTAACCACGCCCCCACGTTCATAGAAATCCGGGGTACTACTCTCGTGCAGAGTGCTACTACTATTACTTCTCGGAAAGGAAGGTGATCTGACTTGTGATCCTCTACTCTACTATACATACTAGCCACCATGCAACAATCGCGTGAGCGATCTCCTTCCCGATTTAAGCATATAGTAATTAATAGAAAATTGGGTAGAACAAGATCAGGTTGCCTGCAGCTATCCTAGAACAAGTCGGTTAATTACAGTCCGGTTCTAGAATGAAAATAAATCCAGATCATGAACGACAGTGGGCCAGTAAATATCTCACTGGCAGCGGGATATAAGCGCGCCTACTCCTATTTCTTTACATCAATAAAGCCTCGCCTAGGCATGAATTGGAGCACTTCTGTCAGCCACCACAGTAGTACCACCTCCATATGATGGTAGTACATGGTACTAATTTTGGATTAACAGGCTGAAAGGGGTAAGGATCCCTGCCAGGGAGAGACAAAATCGCAATATATTCAATAGCCATATAGTTGTTATCAACATAAGACCGTAGGATGAGTTAACTAGGCTTCACTTACCAAACTTTTCACGTGGAAAATATTCAAGTCGGTAAAGGGGCTTCCGAGATATCCTTACCATACCTCTACTCTACTGAATGTACCGGTGCTGATAGTACGTTTAGTTGTTTATTAGACATAGGTAGAGCCTAGCCTTTTATATACCATTCCGTAGCGAGCCCTATAGTACTAATACTTATTTGTCAATAAGTAATCATATAAAGCCACATTATCTACTAGATTCTGTGATACGTACCTAGAAAATGTATGTACCTACATGTACACGCAATGCAGGCCCCACGATCGGTACCGATTCCACGAGTTCAGCTATCTATTTGGTAAGAACTGGGAGAGAAAAAAGGTATTTGGTAGTCTCTCTATGGCCGGATAAAAACATTCCCTATGCACCTTTGTGGCAGTGTCACCATTCATCGCTGTATCTGCCGCGGTGGGAGGGGTGAATACTGATCGACAGGGTTGTACCCTCATGGATTATGGGTTGAGATGAAAGGATAGGTACCACACGCTTGCATGAACACCATGGTATGGAGTATACGAACGAGAGAAGATGAATTTAGCTGTGAATTTGTAGGTCGGCTTAATTTCACTTGTGATTGTAGGTACATGAATGTACGCGTGTGTCCTGGTGTCACTGTGTGATATAAAGACTGCCACTGTACGTCTCGTGGAATACTTTCTTCCACCGTCTTCATCACTGTACTTCACCTGTGTACTACAGAAGCCGATCAATTATCCTTTTCCCTCCTCAATAAAAGGCTCAATATCAGATTTATCGTCACCGGTAAAATGACAAATTTCAAATTCACCGCCCTTGTCTGGGGATCACTCTTTGTATTTGCTCTTCTACAACTCTCGGAGGCAGCAACAATTAAGAAATGTTCTTCTCCGATTGTCCGTAAAGAATGGTACCACAAACTCTTTCCTCTCTTCACCCGTACCGCATGCAATATATTAATACCTCGGAAACATATAGGCGTGCACTCACAGCTAAGCAGCAGCAGAACTACATATCCGCTGTGAAATGTCTCCAAAACATACCCGCAAAAACCTGTGCTGCCGTTCCCGGAGCTATCAGTCGATTTGATGATTTCCAGGGTGTGCACATTCGCCAGACAGACTTCATCCACTTTGTTGTAAGGATCCATCACCCACCCACCCACCATCCATCTCATCTTCCTCTGCTAAACACTCAAAATTTCCTCCACAGGGCCATTTCCAAGCCTGGCACCGCTACTATCTCGCCACATATGAGAAGTCACTCCGTGAAGAGTGCGGGTACACCGGCGCACAACCGTAATTCTCTCCTCACCGTGGTTACCCTCACGACGGTCATGATACTAACTGGAGCAGATACTGGGACTGGACCCTCGACAGCGCAAGCAACGCTACCTTCCTCGCCGCACCCGTCTTTGCCAACAGTGCCTTTGGCGGCAATGGACCCTACGTCGAGAACGGAACCGTCGTTGGACTTGAGGGTGTCACGGGCCGTACCGGCGGTGGTTGTGTGCCCAACGGATCATTCAAAGATCTGGAGCTACATCTAGGCCCCGGCACGAACCTCGTGCGCAACAACCAGTGCCTCACCCGTGATATCGCCTTCCCGATTATTCTCAAGTGCCTGACGGCGACAGCAGTGGATAAGGCGCTCGCTGCGGAGAACTACCAGGCGTTTGATATCGAGACGGAGGGTGGAACCACCCCCGAGGCGTTCACATACCATGCTGGTGGGCATCTTGGAATCGGGGGTGCCTATGGAACAATTGCAGACATCTATGCAAGCCCTGGTGGTGAGTTTGCTTTCCTCCATATCCATTTTGAATTGTAGAACTGTCGTATGCTGACATGTAACCCAGACCCACTATTCTACCTCCACCACGCAAACATGGACCGCATCTGGTGGATGTGGCAGAGCCAGGACCTTGCAACGAGGCTGAAGGATATCGCGGGCCCAATCGTGCAGTTTGGCTACCCGTTCAGCAACAACACCAGCGGCGGAAATGTCACGCTGGATTTCCAGATCCACCTCAACGAGCTCGCTGGAAACGTTACGCTGGAGCAGATAATGAACATCAAGGGCGGTGATTTGTGCTACGACTATGCGTAGATGCATGTGGTGGTACGGGGTAACGGTGTTAATATACGGTAATAATGTAATGGCCTTGTATGCGGTATCGGATTTAATGGTTTCAGGTATAATGTGTGGTGGGCTGGGAGAGGCTGCTGCGTCAGGGTCTATTGTGAATATTGTATTCTAGCATGAAAAGGAGTTGTATAGTACGTGTGCATGTATAATACATACATAAAAGAGACTGCAATCTGATAGATGCTTGTATTGAGCGCGTGGAGTGAACAAAACCATGACGCCGAAGCTACATGTAAACGTACTCTACCAGCAGCATCAATGATGGGCAGGTACGCGTACCTCCATCCCTGCTATCTAATCTCCGAGACAAATCATCCCAGTTAGCGATCTGTCGCTGGCGGTGCGGCGGGATCGTGAACGGGCGCGGTTGACACGTAAGGCTGAGGCTGATCCGGTCTCATGGCCGGTGGTGAATCTTGTCGGGGTATTCCGGTGGTGTTTGGTGGTGGAGGGGAGATGGTGACATGGAGGTCAATGTTGCGGAGTTGAGGGGTTTCGGGGGATGGCGGCTAACAATTGACAGTAGTAGTAGTAGTGGTTTGAATACTCCCATCGAGCATAGAGACAGAGACAGAGACAGAGACAGCGACCCTTCCCCGCCGTGTCGAGGATGTACGTAGATTCGTGCATGTCGCTTTCCGCATCCGCAATGTCTTACCGGCACGCCAAGATCACTCGGTCGAGTGATATTCTGTGACTAACTAAGCCGCACCCGGGTATGTACCCGCGTAGAGATTTACCTACATGTACGTACGCAACAGAGGCGGAAGGACTTGGCGGAGCGGAGACAGATGCAGGTTGAGGCCTTTTCGACAAGGCCTACCAGGCTTGTGCTTTTCTACTGACTCTGTGTCCTTTGACTTGGTTGCTTCTGGCTTTATCTCCTTTGACAGACTACATGTAGGCTCGTCTTTTTGACTTCATCTCCTTTCGCTTCGTCAAGTTGTCAGGGTATTGGTTCTGAGATGACTACGGATCCTGCGGAGTTGTGGGTAGTATGTGGGTAGCTAGGGCTGGAAGTCTTTACCAATCCCTCTAACGAGAACACCGACTGATGGATGAATAGATGGATTCTTTAAGCACGCTATATACAATATCACTACAAATTCCGGCGTGGTAAGACGTACTGATGAGATCATCAGAACTGGGAATTGGATTTCTTTGGATAAGTACATATATAGAGAAGCTACAGTCATGCGGTCACGAATAAACAGCCATTGGAATCTATAACCTCCAAGAGTGAATTACGAATCTACTCCTACCACAAAAGCAAAAAGAAGAAGAAGAAAAGCACAGAATTTCATTAATTATTAGCGAGGAGTAGATCTATATCTCCTCATCTCCAACCAGCAGCCCTCATTCTTCTAAGAATGAAATACTGTCAACTCTCCCCCCCATGGCGGTGACGCTCCCCACCCTCCCAGCACAAACCTCCCACCCGTCAATGGGTGACCTCTACCTCTGAAGTTCTTGTAACAGCTTTCTGCCAACAGAACCAGAAACTCCGCCGCATTCTTACACGGCACACACCTCATCCAGTTCCCGCAGATTCCCAACGACGATGTCCCCCAGTTCCGATACGTATAGCAACGCCCCCTCGGGGTGAGCTGACAGCACATCGCGCGGTGATCCCGGGTCATATCGTTTATGTTGCTAATGACATCGAACAGGCGCGGGCTACGGATGCTGGTCTCGCAGACATAGCCAAATTCGGGGTCGTTGCGCTTGGCGAGTGCATTGGAGGAGGAGGATTCCGAGAGCCCGCCGATGAGGTCGCTGACGGTTCTGGAGACAGTCATGGTGGTGTTGGTTTTGGTGACGGGGTCAAACGCTTCTTGGGTGAAGGTGTAGACGCTGTTGGGGGGGAGCTTGGAGATGCGCGTGAAGTTGGGGATTTTGGCAATGGCCGCTTCGATGGCGGCGGCCATTTTGGCATCCTGCGGGCCGGAAATGGCGTTGACGATGGCCGATCCGAAGAGGATGGCAAAGAGGAGAATGAGCGGGGTGTAGGTACGCATTTTGATGGTGATATTAAAGTGCTTGGGTAGGTGGTGGGGGATTTTTATGGACGGAAGCGCAGGGCAAGAGTGATTATTACTGAAAACTTTGCGAGGTAAATGAGGTAAATCCTTTCTATTATTGGTGCCCCCCAAATTGTTTAATCTAAATTACTACCAAGATGCGCAGTTGAAGGTGCAAAGCTAAGATTTTATACATAGGCCAAGAGAAAAAGTTGAATACGGCATTTTTACCAGCCATAATTACACTTTAATCCACGGGTTTGTTGGACTGATAATTGCCCTGTGCATTTTTTTTTAAATAATATAATTTTCCTGAGATAGTTTAAATTTGAAACAGGAAGCTAACTATGGAGCGGTAAATGTGTCAAAAGTAATTTTACCAACGGTAGTAAATTATTTACCACCGGTGGTATAAGCACTGAATTTCAGTCATTGTATCTGCACGCTATCCTACATTAGTACATTTCCACCGGTATAAACACTGAGTTTCGGTCTTTATGCTGCGCTATACTAAATAAGTAAATGTTCAATCATTAATGCCAATATATATGAAAATTGTCCACCAATGGGGAATCTCACCACCAGTGGGAAATTTTCATATATATTGGCATTATATGGCCCCTTTTGGCCAAAAGGTCTGTGCTTTTATCATAAAAATTAGCATTATAGGTTATAAATACAGGTATTATTTTCACCACCGGTGGTAAAATAATTTACTACCGTTGGTAAAATTACTTTTGACACATTTACCGCCCCATAGCTAACAAAACTCTAGAGTTTTAGTCTTAGTATACAGGGATAATCATGGTCCTCCAAGCTAGCTCGGGAACGAATAATTGATAATTGAGCTCTATATACATTTTGTGGTCCGGGAACAAGTGGAGAGGAGCAGAAAAAGAGGAGAAAGGGCACAAAATGATCACATATTTTATTTGATCATAAGTTAGTTCTTTTAAAAACTAAGAATGGAACACTGTCAACTCCCCTCCCCACGGCGGCGCCGGCCCAAACGCCCCTAACACAAACCTCCCGCCCACTAGCATCGTACCATCCCTGCCCCTCACCTTGCACAAATCCACCAATATCATGATAAAATCATACATATTTTCGCACGGCACACACCTCATCCAAGCTCCACAAATCCCTAGCGACGCCGTCCCATGATTCTGCATCGTATAGCAATGTGATGTTGAGAACGGCATGATCTGGCAACACCTCTGTCGCTGGGCTCTGTTCACATCGACTAGTGCCTTGATAACGTCGATTGCCTGAGGGCTGCCGCCGCTGGTCTCGCAGACAGCGCCGAATTCGGGGTCGTTGCGCTTGCTGACTGTGGAGGCCGAGGGGGTGAGGGGCGCAAGGAGCTCGCGGACGGTGCGGTGCAGAGTGATGGAGGAGGTGATATTGGTGATCGGGTCGAAGACTACCTGCGTAAAGGTGTAGGTGCTGTCGAGAGGGAGCTTGGAGACGCGCGTGAGGCCGCGGAGTTTGGCAATTTCGGCTTCGAGGGCGGCGTCTTTGGCGGCGATATTGGGGTCCGCGATATTGGGGTCCGCGATATTAAGGTCCGCGATGGGGTCAAATACCTGCGGGGTAGCAAGGGCGTTGACAATGACCGATCCGAAGAGGACGGCGAAGAGGAGAATGAGTGGGGTGTAGGTACGCATTTTGAAAGTGCTTGGATAGGTGGTGGAAGGGTTTATGAACGGAAGAGCAGGAAAGATAACTGTTAATGAAAATCCTCCGAGGTCATTCTTTCCTACGTATTTATACCTCACAGTTCCACCCAAATTGCTACCAAGGTGCATAGTTGAGGTTCTATACGTGAGCCAAGAGAAGAGACTTTGGCTAAGATGGGTACGGCATTTGAGCCAGCCATAATTATGATTTAATCCACCGGTTTGTCAGACTGAAGATTGCTCTAGACTTGTTTTTAAACAATCGTACCAAGGTAATATCATTTTACTAAGACGGTTTAAATTTTTAAATACAAAACTAATATCCTTAACTCAACAAATTTTTACAGACAGAGATCATGGTCAATAAGTTGAGGAATGAATGATTAATTATTAATCTCTAAATACATTGTGGGAAAAAGTCTATCTCATTACTAAAATATCACGAGGAATGAAAAAGAAGAAGAAAAGGCACCAGATGATCACGAATTTTATTTAATCATAGTTTAGTTATTTAAAAGAACAATTCTTCCCTCCCTGAGGCCCCAAACCACTCTAGGTGTGGTAGGTCAACAGATATCCTCCAGACGGAGGCGTCACTCCATATGCGCCAAGGTTGAACTTTCCACCCGCGAGCATCCTGCCGTCGGGGAACTTTCTGCGGCACCTGTCGACCAAGATGAGCAGAAAGTCCACGGCGTTGGGGCAAGGCACGCAGCGCATCCACGGCCCACAGATCCCCACCGCAGCAGATTTATGAGACTCCAGGGTATTGCATTTCGATCCAAACGGCAGAGGCTGGCAGCAGTGGTCCCTCTCTTTCCAATTCATGGTGACCATCGCCTTGACCACATCAAACGCCTCAGGACTGCCGCTGCTGGTCTCGCACACGACGCCAAACTCGGGCTCGCCGGCACGCTTCTTGTGCGCAGGCAGGTCGGGGGTGTCGAAGCCGGCGACCATCTCTGCAGCGGTGGGGTGCAGCACAATGGTCTCCATTACGCCGCTGGTGGCATTGATGAACTTGTGCTCGAAGTTGTAGATTGTGTCGGGGGGAAGCCTGGAGAAGCGGGTGACGTTGCGGAGTTTGGCGATTTCGGCCTCGAGGGCGGGGTCGTCGGGCAGCTGGCGGACGGAGACAGGGTGGCTGATGAGAGGGCCGCTGATGACCGTTCCCAGGAGGACGGAGAGGAGGAGGAGGAGGAGGGGGAGAGTGGTGTAATTGCGCATTTGAGAGAGTGTCTTGGAGAAGATTGAATCTTGTGAGAAGTTTTTTGGTAGGGACCGAAGAAGTTGGATATTTCCGAGAACTAAATGACGGTGGGGATGGAGGGATGGAAAGGTCACATACAGGGAGAACAGCGCATTATGAAGGAAAGTGCTGCAAAGGCATTAATTTCATTCTACGAGTTACTTCCCCAAATTAAAGGCCCTAACCAAAGTACCTCCGGCCTCATGTGACCTGGGGGTAGAGTCGACACAAGATTTTCCATCGTCAAATGTTGTGTGCAGAGCAGAGTGGCTCTAGCTAGGCCAAGACTAAAGGGTCCAATATTAAAATGGTCTCTCTCCTCTCGATATCCTCTGATAGTCGAAAATTAACATACGAGATCTTAGGTCTTTTCGTAATTTCATTTGAAAAAGCCAAATACCCAAATTCCCTTGCGACTTTGTGTCGAGTGATAATCCATGACTAAAGGCGACGTGACCCGGGGAGGCCATCCAACAAAACACACGCAGCACCGACGAATAGATTGCGCTTGTACAGAGAACATAACATATGACATGATAAATATGATGCGTCAGTAAGAACAAATGCAGACCACTCGAGACAGCTGCCACAATCATCGGGGGCATTGCTTCTACAAGGATTGCTACCCAGTGATTGCCCTAGCCATCACCAATACCATAATTAATACATATATGTACATGATGTACTCTAGGCGAGCGCAAGGGCCAAGTATGTATGACTGAGCTAAATATAGGCGGAATTGTTTCACGTGGGATTTCACTAGTAACTTGAGACACAATAGATACTGATGGCACACAAAACACATTTCAAAAGACTGACCATTTGAGCCATATCACTTGATTGATTTGATTTAACGCCAAAGAAGCCCGTTTCCCACACCGTGAAAAAGAGTAAACTAATAAATTTAAAAAAACCATCGCAAGCGTTTGATTTATTTATCCTGGATCGGGATGTCCTTTCCGGTCCTGCTCTTGTACTGTCCGCGAATAACTGTAACACCGTGTTAGCACCTAACCACAAGAGAAGCCAAAGCTAAACGGAGAAAAAAAAAAGAGGGGGGGGGGGGGGGGTTATCATACAATCGCTAATCTGCTCATCCTTCGCCTGCTCCAGAGCACTCTCATTATCCTGCGGTCCTTGCCCAAAGACATGCTCCTGGACATAATCGACACCTATCATTCAATCCATACGTTAAGCAACCTTATTAAAAAAATGTAAGAGTACCACCTAAAGAAAAGAACATACCCTTGTCAAGCGCATCTTCGTTCTTCTCCGAGGACTTTCCGCCGCCGGCCATGGAGTTGAGCTTGTCAGACCATCCGCCGCCGCCGCCGCTGGAAGTGTCGGTGGTCTGCTGCTGAGTTGCGGGCTTCTTCTCGCCGCCGCCGACCATGTTTTTGATAGCGTCCATTGTGAGTTTTTGGGGTTGTGGGGTAAAAAAAAAAAAAAGGTTTTTTTCGAAAAGTAGTGTGTGGGTAAGTAGGTGGTATGTACGTATTGTGGTAATATCGATGAGATGAGATGTGACAATCTGGGGAACAATGAACGTTTTTATAGAGCTAGCTTCCAACAATTGAGAGCGCTGTCAATGATCATGACCACCGCCCCCCCCTGACGTCACTCCCGATGAACCAAGGTTTCTGCCTCTCAATGCAGCCATAATCCGCCCTGCCAGGAAAACCTGAAAATCAGTGACGGAGGAATTGCGATTGATCGCTCGCTACACTCGAATCCAGCAGGGTGTGCCCCCTGTGGGGTGCGCAATTGCTTGAAGATAGAGCTGCTAGGGAGCGGGCTTCCAACTTCTTCCAAGCTAGCTGACATGACTGACAGACACTGCAGGGTTTCGGTGCAAAGGGCCATGGGTTGGCTGGCTGGTTCGGCTGGGTTAGGGTTGATTGGAGCTATGACGCCCTCCCGCTACCGGGTTACACAGGAAATGTTTAAGGCCCCTGCTTGCCTGGCTGCCCGGCTGCCCGGCTGCCTCTTTGGGGCATCTGGGGAGGATGCTCATTCACGTGTCACCAATTGATAATCTCGCAACCACAGTAACTCAGGTTATCGAGATACGGACTGGCGAGATGGGGCCATTACCCGTACGTAGCCTCGATCGGTAGCAGTAGTCAGGAAGCTGTCTGTCTGGGTCTGTTGGAAGCGATTGGAGCAAGCTGATACAATGTGGGTAGGCAGGTACCTAATTAAGGTAGAGTACTCATCAATGCGTGCGTACAGCTGTGCTCTACTCTACAGGCCGGCCACCGGTAGGTAGGTAGGTAGGTAGGTAGGTACTGTACATACATACGTGCTGTGGGTACCCGACAGAGGGAGTTCCGATCTCAACCAGTACATGGGAAGAGTGCGCATTGCACTACGCGTGTTACAGCTTTTTTTTGCAAAACAGCACACAGTAGTACATCTCAAAAGTGAGAGGGTGGTTTGAGAAACTAACGTCCGTTGTTTCTGCTTTGCAAGAGACGGATGAGAATTTTTTCTTTTTCTTTTTCTTCTTTCGAGCGAGTGAGAGTGGCTAGTCCGGCTCGCCAAGTATCCGTGTGGAGGGAATTGGAACCTGGGGACTCATGCACCCAGCCTCCCCGAGATTTCATCACCGTCAGCTTGTCAGATTGTAGTTGATCTGGTAATCAAGCGAAAATGCCAAGAGTTTTGATTTTGGTGTGGTGCAAAAATTCCACTGTGGGGATTGAGATCCTGACGAGAAGAAGAGAAGACTACTCTACAGATGCTTTATCGAAAGTATGCGGATATGATGATGATGCAGTGAACAGTTATGAAAACTCTATAAATCCATTCCCAAAAAGCAAATAAACTGAACCCCCGGACCCTAATAATTCTAAGCGAAAGTCCAAAAATAACAAAACTTTTTTTTTTGAAAAAGAAAAGAAAAAACGCCCCAAGGATATAATGCGGAAAATAACCAAATCATCAACCATGCCATGCCATGCAATGCTCCTCCGTCAAATGCGAAATGCATGAAGAAAAAAAAAGGGTATCGTACAAAAGAAATTATAGCGAGAGCTAGCTATAGTCGCCCCCCCCCCCCCCCCCCCGGGTTTACTGGTAACCAAAAGCATGAGAAAAATATAAGCAACCTTCAAAACAGTTGACAATTAAAACCAAAATTAGGAAAGTCGTGATGAGACAACTGGGTATAAAGATGAAACCATACGATCATAATCAGAAATCTATATATAACGCTCAAAGATTGGCTGGTAAGAAAATAGGAAGAAGAGAATTAATGATCGTCGGTCCGGGAGAACTTGTCGTGAGTACCTGAGGAATTGTCGAAGATGGTTTTTTTACAGCCGATAGATAGCGCTCAATGTCGATGTAAAAGGTTATATAGCTTTCCCTTTGGTATTCTCACACCGGGGAAGATGCTCTCTGGCCAGCAGGTAGAGACATCGAAGCTGGATCCCTTCATGAGTAATTGCTCCCGACCATATATTGGTCTGGTGAAATATCCCTGATAGCCCCATCCACAAAGGCATCCTCAAATTCACTCACGCTCATCACGGGGGATGTGTAAGAGATGTCTGGATACCCCATGAGCTCAGGATCGATATCAATGAGATCAGAGTTATTAAAAACGGCTGGAGGGAAAAAGATATCTTCGACAAGACCGGCCTGGAGCTGATAAGTTTGGTTTTGAAGAGCTTGGTGCATATTAAAAGCATGCATCCGGGACGTAATATCAAGATCGGAGAAGGTCACGTTTGAGATTGTCCCATCAGCATCTCTAACACCATCTTGGTTTTGGTTGGTCTTATGGACCCTGAAGAGGTGCTTCTTCAAGATGCGACTTTGCTTGAACTTCTGGTTACACACTGGGCATGGAAATTGCGGCGCTTCATGACTACGCTCATGATCCCTGGAGTACAATTAGCTTCATTCTTACTAGCATTGATTGAAGCAACCATTGGATTTGTATTTACATGTACTTACCTGAGCTTGGAAAGAAACTTAAAAGCTTTATCACCCACCGGGCAGCCTTCGAATTTACAAAAATAGGGTGCGGAACGTCCACTCGAGCGAGAACGTGCGACGGACGCCTGGTCATCAGCCCCATGTGAAGGGAAGCCGCTGTTGACATTGCCCTGGTCTCTTCCTGGAAATAAAGGCTCGGGTTGACCCGAGACGTACGCTGTGTATGGCTCAGCTTGTGGTGCTGATTGCTGGTACTGATCATTATTCGACTGTTCGTTTGTCAGGGTTTTACTCCATTCACTGATTGATCGTTGGAGCTCGTGGGTGTGTTGGTCGCGGCGCGACATGTCAGCCGCACCATGGACAGGGTTGTATGTCTCGCTTCGGGGGTGGCGGGCAATCTCGCGCGATACGATAGCATCAAGCGTCTTGGTCACTACCTTGATCTCATCCAGAGATTCTTTGCCGATATTGGCATATTTATTTGGGGTGTCGTTGAGTTCCTTAATCATCATCTTTATCTGCCTCTCGAATGCATCAAGGGGCGAGATAACGACGTTGTCATTGCTGTAATTGGCCATTTTGTATGTGTATATAGCTAGCTTAGATGGGACGTATGTAGCTTGGATAGGCTTTTGGTTGAGTAGTGACTGGTAGGTAATTAGGTAGCTATACGACAGAGAATAGTTAGTAATGGTAATCGAGGCTATCACTCGTCGGCGAACCATTGTACAAATATTGTACTAGGCAAGACATGAGCTGCTTAAATCAGGTATGGACTGCACACTTACATCTTGAATCAATCAAGGGTCTCTGATGTCAAATCGAGACTAGGCAATATAGAATGATATATGCTTTTGAGCTGAGTAGAGAGAGGGGCCCGGGGAGGGGTCAATTATTAATGTCTATCGATCAACCAGGATCGGATATATGTATGTAGGGCTAGAGAGACGCTGGGTGTAATATGAGGAACCTGTCACCCACGGCCGGGAACCTTAAATTATATATTGGGATCGAAGATGGTGAAGCTAGAAGGAGAAGTTGTGCTTGTGAGATATTGTGCGTAGCCTTGGTTGGTCTTGTCGAGTCTGGGGATTTAGAACGGTTTGGGCTCCCCGTACTAGCTATTATATGTTTGGACTATGCGCAATAAAATATGACGTTAATTACATAAATCCATGCGCGCAAGCTCAGTACCTTCGCACCGTACCACACATGGGAAGGCGCGCACGCAATTCACCTTGCCTGCCCTAAGTGAGGCTGTTTAAACAACGGAGCTATCATGTTATTGACAGTAAGCTATCGACATCATGAACTGGTAGCGTTGATTTCGGGGGTAGTCTCTGTTGAGGTATCTCGAAACTAGCTATCGATATCGTTGATCTGGAACAAGCAGATAAGTGTGAGGAGCCGCACTTTGGCCGGGGGGGGAGGGCACGTGACACTAGACAGGATTTCGCTATTTTCAGCCAATACGTATTCACTCTTCCATCACAATTCGATATGAATTGAACCCTTGCAAACTGAGTACAATGTGAGTAGGACGCCAAAAGGGAAGAAATGTCTAGATCTCAGTAATTAACCCTAACCCTAAGCTGGCCAATGTGATCAAGGCACACTGCTCCTAGAATTCTCACTATGTATTACTTGATCTCAAAACAAATTCCGATCTGGTCCCAAACAAAATTAATGGGGAGTGAGTTTGAGCACTGAATTGAAGAGCATAGCCTTGTGTGCGCGCTCACTCTGAGAATCTTTGATACTGGTACATATTTTTTTACATTCGCGGTCCATCATTGACAGTACTTTCTGCACGTCTGCACCCTATGGCCATCATCTGCAGGTGGACGGAAGCCAGCAGCCGCACAAGATCGAACGCCAACTCACCCATGCTGCCTCTTGAACCGCACTCGGATTATGGTCCCTCTTGATTTATTTTTTGCCACACCCACCCGCAATTGCCAACCATTTTTCGTGGCGCAGCTTCAGACACCCATCGTAGTAATTGGCTTCTGCTCTCCATGTAAGTAAGAAAATGCACGACGGATGCATCTCTTCCTGCATACGCTTATGCCTAGAGAATTGAAACATCTTCTAGTTCATGAATTCGAAGCTAGATGGAATGAAGACCGGCAACTTGAAGCTTCTTCGAAGGAGGCCATTAACCCATTGCAACACAGAATGGAGTCTGTCTGCCAGCCATCATTAACGTGTCTTCCTTTTTTTCTTCCTGTGCGCATGACGAACATCAGGAACAACACATCTGTTCACAGCACACTTAATGTTCTCTATGTTTCGATCGAATCGTGTGCCGGGGCGCACGTAATGAAAATTAAAATATCGTTGGAGGTACTCCTGCAGGTACCGCTGAAACTCTATGATTTTGCAAGTCTTGTACCTACTTGAGCCTCAGCCTTGTTCGAAGCAACGATAATACCGTGCATACAAGCAGGAAAACGAGCCATCAGGTTGTATCAGCTTTGTTTCTTAGCGTGAGTTCTCAAGGGTTTTTCTTTTCTTTCCTTCCAACTCTGTTACTTATCTTTGTAGCATCGGAAACGAACTAGCCGGAACGCCGTAATATCGTTTAAGCTTCACCAGAAAAACACGCTGGTGGGGCCGGGGAGATCGATCTCAGGAACAAGGCTTACCACATCAGTGTAGGTACAGAGAGTAACCAGGAATGTTTATTGTGTCACGAAACACCAAGAGCTGGCGAACCAATCAGATGCAAGACTGTTTCTCTCCCCGTTTTCTCTGCAGCAATTGTCCAATTAGGAAGAAACGTTTCACGGTCTTCTCACCAGACGTTGTGTACCGGACGTTGTGTCGATGCCCAGATGGGTTTGGGATTTGTAGAAATTTCAATTAGTTGCGGATATCAGCCCATCTGCTCCAAGGCAGCAGTTGCGTGACGCATGCTAGGTGATATGGATATTCCATACATACTGATCTCCAGCGCCATGCACGTGGCTGCAGTTATATATTAATCGTCTGGCCAATTATATTTGCGTATATATATAAATAAAAGCTGCACTTTATCCAGTCAATATATTGTATCTCGACTCTTTCCTCATGCAGAACATTGTACACACTTACATGGATACCTGTAGGTGTCAAACTCCGCACAAGCCAAGTCCCTCATATTCTGATACAAATTTATGAATATATAATCATTTCTCTGGAAATAAGACCTTGTTTCAGTAATAAAACGCATTGGGAATTCGTACCATCAGGTGCCGATTGGATGAATACCACCGTCACCTTACACAGATATCACAAGCTTATAACCAACTGTTCATCTCATCTACCGAAAGAAATAATCTCAGGTTAGTAGATTTATGAGAGCTAGGTATTGATCCAACTCAGGACCCTGCTAACGGGATGCCGCGCCCGGAATAGGCAAAAATTCGCTCCGACCGGCCAACAGCTGCAGATCCCGAGTATTACACCTATCATGCTACACCTCTGAAGACAGGGTATAAATAAATTATATATTAATACTTGCTACGTGTATCGTTTGCTTTCATGGAGCCTGAGCCATCTTATCATCACTTGTACTAGATAGTAAACTGGATCCGGTAAGCCTCGAGTTCAATTCTCCAATCACGTAGCAGCGGTGCGAGCTTCTTATATGTGCCCTTCTTAAACTTGACGTGCTGAATGGGCGTTATCCGGCTCGTGCTTACGAATAGTTGTTGAAACCCTACCTCCATCTGATTATCAGTCTGTATTGCAATTCGCTGGAGCTCAACCTCACCATATGCACAATGTAGCCGACTTTGTGCGCAACAGTGACTGCGGTTCTATATTCTGTGTCAACTATCACTCGGGTGTTTTTATCCTAATAGAGGCAGTGGGGTTCAAGTCAACCTTGTGGCGGGCTTTTTCTTTTTCTTTTTGTGCATGCGAATGATACGCAACTCGCAGGAAACCAGTTATGAAATCTCCAGAAATACAATGCTTCAAGCATAGTGTGCAGTCACTCTACAAACGTCGTAACATTGGTGATCGCGGCCGGCTGGGTGCTCAGAAAGAAAAAAAGTGAAAGGAACCCGAACACCACCGAGAGATCAGTTATGATTAAGACTAAGTAGTGCTTTGAAGATTTTGGTGACAACGGGAGGCTTTGGATGCATGTCACGCATTAATAACTTTAGTGTTAATGACCATCTCCAAAATTGAGACAAAAGGTCAGGTACATACGGTGTTGTGACCTACAGTGCTGTCCATCTCACTGCAGTGCTAGTAAGTGGTTCGTCTCTTCTCGTTTGAGATCGTATCGGATCCAAGCCATTTTTCTCTTTCAGGGGATAAGTGTTTCCAAATATTAGAGCGTCCGCAAAACAGCTAGCTCCGTTTCCCCACAACCTAATTGGTAGTATTAATTAGTACTAATGTGGCGTCTAGGTTTGATCAGAGCAGGTTAGGGTTAGGGCTCCCAAATTGGAAGGAGGGTACCTAATTGGTTCCCGAACAATAATACATGATAGTAATGAAATGAGGGGCTGCGAGAAGAAACCAGGCTTGCCGAAATCTAGAACCGCGAAGTACCTGGATGTAATCAATTATTAGGTATGTAGTTAGCGAGAGATCTGTGCATATGTCCGAGCCCAATAATGAACCCTTGTACAGTTTTTAGCCAGCCAAAACCATAGCCTGAATGGCACCTGATATCTGCCGCGAGAATCAGCTGAAGAGACTCCCCTTAATTCTCGGCGGAACGGAGATTTAATACACCACGCCCAACGCTTAAACTCTATAAGCATCTTTTCCTGTGGGAGATGCACTGCTGTCCGTCCCGTATTCCCAACGACTGACGATCTATACATCACTAATAAGGGACATTGATTCCTCAACTCTCAATCTACGCGATAAGTAGGCCGAAAGCTGGGGGAAACGAATCGCGGAATTGCCGTTGAGAAATGCTTGTTGGGATTCCGAGCTTCTTGATAATGGTTTTCTGAGGCCTGGGACCTGGGGTAATTAACCTTAATTAGATTTCCAACGGAATATTACACTCGGAACTCCGAAAGATGCCATTCTCCCGTAGGTTTGCGGAGTTGCGCTCCGGAAACCCCATTTATAATTACGCTCGCAAGGTGTTGATTGTTGATTATCCGTATATTGAAGTTGATCAAGCTTAAGAAGTCGGATGACCTGCGCCAACTATAAGTAGGAGTATAAGCCCCTCGTATGAAGTCTTCAACCTCTCACGACCATTCTAACCCGCAACGCCAATATGTTCTTTTCGGCCTCTAGCATTTTCCTGGCAGCTGCCAGTCTAGCCTCAACGGTTGCTGCGGCGTCGTTGCAACAGGTTACAAACTTTGGCAATAATCCTAGTGGCGCGCAGATGTATGTTTATGTATGTCAAACCCTCAATTGATCGTTTTAGATATGGCTCCCTCATTGACGTTGAGGTTTAGATCCCAGATAACGTAAAGCCAAACCCCGCCATTCTGGTCGGTATTCATTGGTGTACCGGAACTGCACAAGCTTTCTATAGTGGAACCGGTTATAAAGCCCAAGCAGACCTCTATGGTTTTATTGTCATGTATGTGGAATCCAGTGTTCACGAGTTGAGGATCGTAAACGCTGATATATATGCACAGCTACCCATCTTCCGTAACCTCGGGCGGCTGTTGGGATGTCGCGTCTACGGCCACCCTCACCCACAATGGCGGTGGAGACTCCCTCGCCATCAAGAACATGGTCTTGTATGCTATTAGCACCTATAGTGCTGATGCATCCCGTGTATACGTTACCGGGCACAGCTCTGGAGGCATGATGACCAATGTCATGCTCGGTGCCTACCCAGATATCTTCAAAGCCGGCGCTGCATTCGCGGGAGTTCCATTCGGATGTTTTGCAAGCGACACTTCGTCGTGGAGCTCAGCATGCGCAACAGGGCAGATTACAAAGACACCAGAGGAGTGGGGTGCATTGGTGAAGGCTGCGTATCCAGGATATACGGGGACGAGGCCAAAGATGCAATTGTGGCACGGAACAGCAGATGATACGTTGTACTTTCATAACTTTGAGGAAGAGATCAAACAGTGGACGAATGTCCTGGGTGTTAGCCAGACCCCTACGAGCACGGAGAATAATTACCTGGGATATAGTGGATGGGTGCGGACGAAGTATGGTACTCAGGTCGAGGCGATTAAGGAGCAAGGCCAGCCGCATAATTTGCAGATTTTGGCAGACCAGGGTTTGTGGTCCTTTCTGGTGGTTAGGATGACGGTGGAAAAAACGTGCTAACAGGTTTGGCTGTAGTTGTCTCTTGGTTTGGCCTTAATGGCGCCAGCACGACGACGACTGCTACCCCCACTACCACTACCACGGGGGCTTCGTCAACAACAGCAGCAACAGCAACAGCAACAGCTCCTTCGACTGGAGTCGCGAAGGTAAGAGAAAGAGATCTGTATCCTCCAATCAATTCACAAGATAGACGCTGACATAAAGTAATGTAGTGGGGTCAATGTGGTGGAACTGGCTACACAGGATCAACGACCTGCATCAGTAGCACGTGCGTTTTTGTTAACGCGTGGTACAGTCAGTGCCAGTAGGAGATTGAGATGCTTTGAAATCAAAAATATTACATGTATTATACGTGTAGTAACTATAATCTCCTTCTTTTATAGGTAAAACGATGCATGTATGCTCAAGTAAGGTTAAGAACTCAAAATTATATTATACCTACAGAATCATATGTTCTACTCGTGCTCAAATACACGTATTGCATCTTCTATAGATAGAATACTATGTACCTTGCTTAAAAGTACATGTAGCCAAATAATCAGGAAACTGTAAGAGCATCAAGGGTTTGGTCTATACCGGGAGTAAGCGGGAAATATATTTTCGATACCCCCGCCAAGAACCGAATCGAGTGATCTTTTATGACGATGCCACCGCCGCAACTCCCATGGCCACCTACAATCACCGCTACAAGAGATCTACTACAATTGGGTGTGGCGGAATAAATTGTAGGTATAACATAAATTTATTAGGCCTTGAGAGTATCAACTAATCATAAAATACTCCGGCACCCTTTCTCTCCACCTTCGAATCAAATACACCGCGCTGCACGTCATGCCCGACATATATGTACCTACATGTGTAAAAAAATTCGAATTAGTCCCTAACCAACCAGCTCCCCATCCCCATCCCCATTAACCCCGCCTCCATATCTTAATCACTGGTAAGGCCGCTACCATATCGCGCTGCTTCGGTCTGGAGCATCTATCAAGTGCAATAGGTGCACAGGTACATACCTCGTACACGGCACACGTTACCCCAGGATTACAAGGATTAATTCAACGGAAATCTCCGATTAGCCGAGAACCCCTCAAACCCAGCCATTCCTTGCTATTCCAATCACTGATGTAATTGCAATTGTTTCACCACAATACTTAGCTAAAAGCCTCACTCCCAGAACCCCCACTCTCCTACATAAATCTTCCCAACACCAGACTTACATACCATCAGAAGCTGTTGAACCCAGAAAGGATCAACTATTTTCATTGCATAGGATGGCAAACCTCCAACCCCCAATTATCGATTCTCACATCCACCTCTTCACTGCCGAACATCTCCCCTACCTCGCCTGGACAAGCCCTACAAACCCACTGCACTCAGAACACTCAATCTCGGAATATCTTGCTTCTATCCCGGAAACTCAACGCGATTCTTTCAAAGGTTTTGTCTTTATTGAGACCGACCGTGTGCACACGGAGCCATCACAAGCTGCAATCACAAGTAACGACGAAAAGGCTCTAAAGACTTCGTGGGAATGGACAATTGAAGAATTCAACTTCGTCTACAAACTGTCTGAGCAGAATGAGCTTGTACGAGGAATTGTGCCTTGGGCCCCGATGAATCTAGGGGTTCAGGCACTTGAGAGGTTTTGGTCACTTCTGGAGCTAGAGGGAGAGAGTAACAAGCGTAGAAAAGAAATGCTGAAGGGCTTCCGGTACCTGGTACAGGATAAACCGAAGGGTACGATCCTGAAGAAGGAATTCGTAGATTCGATGGAATGGGTTTGGAGAAAGGGACTGGCTGTGGAGATTGGGGTCGATGTTAGGAGTGGTGGCATCTGGCAGCTTGAGGAAGCGGTATTGGCAATTGAAAGTATTGTCAAGAAGGACGTGCCGGAGAAAGTTGGTTCCTTTGTGATTAGTATGTACCCTCGCTGTGCTCTAATCTTCATTTAACAAACAACTTATGTTACAGATCACCTTTGTAAACCGCCACTAAACACCTCCCCTGCGGACACACCTTCATCGGAGATATTCAAACGCTGGTCTGGTCTGCTCACCCGTGTAGCCTCTGCCCACCCCTCAATTACGATGAAGCTTTCTGGCGTATTCTCTGAGCTTCCACACAATTCCGAGTTCTACCCATCAATACTTAGCAAGGAATCTATTATCTTGGACCTTGTGTCGCCATGGGTAAATGAGGTATTTAACATATTTGGATCGTATCGTGTTCTTTGGGGAAGTGATTGGCCAGTTTGCAAACTTGGCTTTGCAGAAATTTACGCAGACATTGATGCCGGTGGTGCCGAAGGAGCATGGGAGACGTGGAGAAGGTTGACTGGAGTTCTAATGAAGAGAGCGGGTATAATGGAGAAGCAATCAGAGATGATATGGGGCGGAAACACAGTAAGAGCTTATAATCTCAGCGTTGATAGAGTTGATTAAGACTTCAGTTCCGGGGTGTTATATGTAGTCGAATCGCTAGATATCAATTAGTTTGTCTTATGAAAAAAGGAGGCCCAATTCGAGAATAGACTTTATATGTATATGTATTCTTTTTTTTTACTAGTGTTAGTAGAAAGGGCTGATGAGCTTATAAAAGTAGTTGCACAATGTCGCAATAGATCATCATATGACTGCTGGTTTAGGAATAACACCTATATAGGCAAGACTAAGCTACATGTATTACTCTATTACAAATTTGACGAATACTCCATCCATCCGCTGTTTTCAACGTTTTCGTTTTTTAACCAAGCTGGGCGATAGTACTACATGTACTATCCCATAATACTCCTATCCCATAATACTCCGTCAGTGAAATACCGACCTCAGAAAAATAACAAACCCTGTGTAGCTTTACTAACCAATCTTGTTATCTCTCTTAGCAAATAATACATTTCCCATAGAAATTTATTATCGGGATTAAAGGCATTTTACTCGCTAGATTTGGTACTGCTTTCACCCCTTCGAACCAGCACTGTGACCTATATAACCCCCCCCCCCCCCCCCGGGGGCAGTCGCTATTTCCTGCTTGAGTCTGACAAAGAGCCTAAAAACCTGTGAAAATTCAGGAAGAACAAGGAGTAGAAGATACACAGTGTCAGCTTTAAATTAGGGAAGAGTACTGAATCTGCTATTGCGGCAAGGAGCTCTCTCAGCTGCTTTTGCTGGGTAAGATTAATTTAACCAAGTCTGGAAGAACTTCCCCAGGGCAGCCAAGGTGATCCACACACGTACAAGAACAACGGCCTCACTAGATCAGCAAGAGGGCTTACACATGCATGGACAGTAATCAGCCTTGAACAGACCGACTAAAGCCATCTGTGACTCCCGGGCCGGCCAAGCTCGTCCACTATACCTGGCATGGAAACTCACGCTAAATAACTCCTGTGCGCCGTTTTCCGCCCCGCTTTTCGTTCGTGGTAGTTGATGATGTTTCTCAAAACCTGCTCCAATTTGGAGCTGACTACAGACCTCTTGCGCTCTGTGTAGTGCTCGAGAAGGTGAGGGAACGTCCATTGACTGTTTAATGTTTCCTACGGGTTATATATGACTGATCAACGAATTCATCGCAACATCCAGAGGATAAGATTACTTCTGATATGGTGCTTATTTTTAGTGTTCGTTCCCGGTGACATTGTGCGAGGGGTAGAGAAAGAGGATAGCAGTAAAAAACAGTGTCTTGAAATCTCCGCCGTCGCTACATAATGGAGTTCCGAGGGGATCAAAGATTGATCTGAATTGAAAATTCAAACGTGTGTGTGTGTGTGTGTGAAGTCATTTCATTTCTAGATTCTAGGTATAGAATGGTCGCATGCAGTATAAACTATGGCGTAAAGAAACCTATCCCCGAACTATCCCAAACCCGTGCCCTAAAACCCAAAATTTAAACACAAAAGAAATGTACATAAGAAAGTAAACGCAGAACAAAGGAAATATTTTGGGCCGAGCCCTTGTGCCTAATGTAGGTCTTTTCTAGGAAGCGTAGATCGCGGGTATTGGTCCCGTTGGTGTGAGGGGTAAGGATATAGTGGATATCGATGTGAGGGTCGATATAGTTGTGGAGCCGGTGGCGAGGGGTGATGGGGGGGCGCTTCTGGGATATCTCATTCTTGTGGAAACTATGAAGGCGCCTAGTGCTGTGGTGAGGGTCTGGTCGTTCCAGATATCGTTCAGCGATGTGATGGTTCGTAGTGGACCATGTCTGTTTGGGGCGAGTTTGGGGCAGTGGAGGATGACATGTTCTGGTGTTTCTTCCGCTGCATTACATCGTTCGCATGTCGAGGGGGTGTGGGCGGTCATCCAGGTTTTTTGGGCTCGGAGATAGCTCTTCCCTGATCTGAATTGATGGATTCGGGTTGCAACGAACTTGTGGAGGTCGTTGAAGGGAAGCGGGGTGGTGGAGAGAGGGTGGGCGTAGTATTCTGGGGGTGCATAGTATAGTTGCCAGTTGACGAGTAGTTGGGTTTTTGCATAGCGATTCATCTGTTCCGGGGCAACGCCTTCTCTTATCAAGGGGAGAAGGAGGGATCCGAGGAATTCGATGGGTAGGTGAGCGACGCCTTTGAGCGCGGTTGAGTTCCATTTCTTGGGGGGGTTGGGGAGACCTTTGAGGAGTTGGGTATGTGAGAATGTTCTATGGTTGGAGATCGTTGGGAAGGAGAGGCTCGTCCTGCCGGTTACAGGGTTGCCGAGGGGGGATGCTTGTAGGATTCGAATGGCGTATTTGCATTTGAGGTAGTGTAGGTAGAGGTCCAGGGGGGGCGTGTTCGCCTCCGCCCATAGTACTTTGCGGTTGGTTGCCCTGAAGCACCCTGTGTCCCACCGGAGTACGGAGTTCCAGAAGGTCGTCATTGGTTTTAGGGCGGAGGTTGGGGTGATATAACGTGGGTCTATGGGCAAAGGACTATAATGCCAAGGAATACAACCGAAGCGAGTACGTAGTAGAAGGGATTCGTGACTATGGACTATAAGGTGGTTCAATCCTGATCCGAGATCCAAGATGAGCCCTATGACGTAGCGTAGAACAAAAGTAATATTCGTGGAATAAATACAGAAGAAGAAGAAGAAGAAATTTATATTGCTTAGAAGCCGAAGCTTATCGCACACCTAACTACCCGACTACAACCTCCACCGACTAACCCGAAAACAAAAACGAAGTACAAAAACTAACTACCGCAGCTACGAGAACTACGTACATACAAAGAGAGAAACAGCGCACGAAGAGGGCGCGAATAACAAGTGGTACAGGTAAGCAGAATCTAAGCGACAACAAAGAAACCTTCCCGCGGTAAGAAAGAACCCCAAACTTCTCCGCCAACTACATATAAGCGAGCACGATCCTAAACATGGCGTTCAACTCGAGGAGTATCATTACCAAAGTTCCCGGTGTCATATCTGTGGACTGACCTTAACAGGACTGGGAAACCACGCGCACGAAGGCAGGAAAAGCCAACCGCAACAGCGTCAGGTTCGAAAGCGAGGGGGGGGTGGTCAAGAGTGGGTCCTCGGGCATCTGGTTGTCAGGCAGCGAGGAATTGAGGAGTGGTGGTGACCGATAGGTCAGGTAAGAATGGGTGGGGTCGTCGGTCCCTGGAGCAACGGCTAAAGACTGTGCCCGAGTCGTGTTTGAAGTGGTGTCCTCTGGAGGGGACATGCAAAAAGGGTTGAGCCGAAGGCTCAGTATGTATGGGGGTCGCAATCGAAAGTGCCGACCGTATTGTTGAGGGTGGTCTCGGAGACCGGTTGGGTTGGGGTGAGGGGAGCGGGCCGCCTCGGGTAAAAGTGGGTGGCCTGGTTATGGCCGATAAAGAGGGGTAAGGTCACGGGACCTCGGGTAAAAAATTTGACGATAGTTTCGCGACCGAGAGGTCGCTAACTTCGCGGGCTGTCGAGCGCTTTGGCAGTAGGTTCTCACTGACTGGAGATTACTGACAGTGTGCGTACCCGACGTGTGGGATCACTCGTGCGATGAGTGAAAGTAAGGAGGGGGAACGACCGTCTGGCGGTGGCCGTCGTTTTGGCGAGGGGTGAACGGTGGACGCATCCCGTGAGGGCACCGAACGAACAAAGAATGGGGGGTGTCGAGCGAGGGAAGTTCAGGGACCGAAGCAATTCGAGAATCAGTATAACTCCATCTCGGGGGGAAAGAAATCCATCGCGAGCCAGAGGCGAGCGAATGAATGCAGAAGAAGAAGAAGAAGAAACTTATATTGCTTTGAAGTACAAGACTTATCGCACGCCGACCCGACCGCCTAAAACACGAACCAAACAAAAGGACGAAAGGAAAGAAAACAACAGACACAAACAAACAAACACGAACAAAAGCGAACACAAACGAACATCAACAAGAATAAGGAAATTCCGGGACAACACTCAACCAGAAACAACCCAACGACAAGGAGAAATAACATATCTCAGCGAACTCAGGCGCTGGATCCATCAAAACGAAGTAAAACCAAAGGTAAAAAGGTACAAAGGAAACCACCCTTTCCTAATCCCGTCCCTAATCATTTTCTTCCATCCCCTCTTCTAGGTCCGCCTCCGCTTCCGCTGACTCGTACCACTTCGAGAGTTGAGAGTTTTTTGCAAATTGTAAGATAAGGTCCGTTTTCAAGTTTGTAAACATCCAGTTTTCCCAGGTCATCGCTCCGGGGATCTTTTCTATCAGAGGGGCGCGGATTCGAGCCCACGCTGGGCATTCCATAAGTGTGTGTTTCGCTGAGTTTTCCATACCACACTGGCATGGTTCGGGGTCTGTATATACCGCGTGTTTATCGGTTCGGGTAGTTTGGCACCGGATTCGAAAAACTTTTTTCGCTTCCGTTAGGGTGAGTTTCGCAATCTTGGAAGGGGGGCGGAAATCCCCCCGATGATGGTAGTCCGGTATTGGTTGTGTATTCCATTCTTCCAACAGGTGGTCGCGTAGTAGTTTGTTTTGATTCCACTTGTCTCTCGCATTTCCGGGGGTTTGATATGGGAGTAGGAGGGAAGCGATTCGGTGTAGACCTGTCCCTTTGATGTTTGCTTCTCTGTATGGGAGGAGCTCGATTAGGGATTCATTGTTAGGGTGGGTTGCCTCGGTACAGAGTATTCTGGTTCCGTACTTTCTTGAGCGATATGTTAGGAGGTGTTCTAGGGGGGGTAGTCCTGCTTCTCGGAGGAGTTTAGCTCTCTTGGTCCATCGAGGTAGGCCCGTGATGATCCGGGCAGCTTCGTTGTATAGTGGTTCTAACGATCTAATGATGTGGTCTGCGCCAGTCCACCAAGCCTCAGATCCGTAGAGCAGGCTTGGAAGGAAGCCCTGTATTATTAGGTGATGAACTGTCTTAACTGTTATCCCTGGCAGGCGGGCGGTGTTTCGGATTTGGTGGAGGGCTTTTAGGCCTTTTGCGATTGCTGCTTCGATATGGGGCCGGAAGGAGAGGGTTGGATCTATCCAGACTCCTACGTATTTCAACCTCTCTTTGGGGTGTATATTGATGTTGTTCACTTTGACTGGAAGTCGTGGTTGTTGTGTGGGTGATGTAGTGGGCCGGAAGAAGATCAGGTCGGATTTGTCCGGGTCGTATTTGATTTGGAGTGGCTCAGCTTTAATTAGTCTCTCTCTCATTCGTTCCTCCATTCTCTTGATTGTAAAGCCTGGTGTTTTGGATATTTGCACCAGCGCATCGTCATCAATGTAAGTTGTGTCCATCTCTTTTGGGCTGCTAGTTGGGTCCAGAATTACTCCGGCGTAGATCATGAATAGTACCGGAGACATGGGGCTACCTTGCGGCACTCCGGAATCATAGGGCTGTGGTTCCTCTAGCTCATGGTTGAATTGGAACTGTAGTTTTCTGCCGGTGTTGAATTCCTTACACCATTCTGTCAGATAGGTGGGGAATTTTTGTTGGTGCATGATTTCCGCGAGGAGTAGGTGATCGACACAATTGAATGCTCCTTGGATGTCATTGGTTAGGATCGCTGGTCTATCTCGCCGGGCGATTCCGGTACTGTTTTTTAGTAGTAGGTTTTGTTGTATTGGTGTCAAGGTTCTCAGGAGGGCATCAATCGCTGAGATGGTTGGTCTTCCTCCGAATTGGTTTGCTGAGAGTGTGCCTAGGATTTCTCCAGCGGTGCAGAGTCTCTGGGCCACTATCTTCTCCAGGATTTTGCTGAAACATTGTAGAAGGGAAATGGGCCGGTAGGCTTTTGCTTCATGGTAATTTGCTTTACCGGGTTTCGGGATCGGGATACACTTAGCTATTTTCCATTCCGCTGGATGTACACCGTGCCGGAGCATAGCGGAGAACATATCTTGGATCAGAGTTGTATTTGCTTTGACTATAGCTTTGATAAAGGTATAAGGGATGCCATCCGGGCCGGTCGCCGAGTGCGCTGGGCAGGAGTCGATTGCTTTGTTAAGTTCTTCGGGGGTGACTATGTCGAAGGTGTTGCTAAGGTCAAAAGAGGGGGGTCTAATGTTCAAGGGGGGATGGTCGGGGGACGTCCGTTTCGAGGGGAAGAGTTGGGCTCTTAGAGCTTGACACTTCCCCGCAAACGTTTCTTCACCTTGTATGGTTGGTATGATTGTGTCTCGTCTCTTTCCTGCGCTTAGGATTCTCCAGACTTCACTACCTTTCGCCTCGTTCATCGTCTTTTCCCGCTGGTCCGCTTTTGCTTTCCGGATCATGGCTGTCCATTCTCTGCAAGCCTTCCGGTGTTCCTCCACGTGATTAGATTTCCTTGTATTTCTCGCCTTCCTTTCTGCTGCGTTTACCCTTGCCTTCATCTGTTTCATCTCATCTGACCACCAGGAGTTGGCTCTTACCCCCTCCTTCGAGAGTGGTGTTACTATGCTGACTGTTGACCTAACCAGTTCTAGGAAGAAATCGACAGTTTGTTCCGTATGTTCCTTGGTTTCCCATGCCTCTGCAGGGATGGAGATGTTTGACATGTGGTTCTCCAATAGCTTCCAGTCTGTTTGTCGCCACATTCGTCTTGGTACAAAAGGTGGTTTTTCCAGGTGTAAGTGGACGGAGGTTCTTCCGTGGTCTGAGCCCGCTCCGTAGGGTTCAGTACTCCATCGTAGGTTATGGTCGAGTATTGGGCCTTTTACAAATGCAAGGTCGATGGTTGTGGGCCTTTTCCCTCTGTCTCTGGGGAAGTGCGTAAAGACGCCTGGTTCGTTCAGGAGGGTCAGTTTCTGTCGGGTTATCCATCGTTTTAACCGTGCGCCGTTGACCCGGTCTGCTCGGATGTTGTTTCTGTACTCATATGAATTTACTCCGTACCACATCTGATGGTGGCAGTTGAAGTCTCCCATTACTAGACAGTTATCAAGGGTTTGGATTGTACTTGCTATTTGGGCGAAGGGGCCACTTCGGCCTGGGGAGTATATGTTTAGGATTTGGGTTTTTTTGGTTTGGATTTCTACCGTAATCGATACTATGAAATTATCGTGTGTGTAGTGGTGTTTTGGTTTGAGATTGGCATGTTTGCGGACGTATGTTGCACATTTTGTATTGGTGTTGCTGGCCGTAAAAATATAAAAGAGATTTGATTCTGGTGGGTATCCCTCTGCTGAGGTCCATGGTTCTTGTAATAATAGGAAATAAATACTAGAGTCTGTTTCCGCTTCTTCTACCGCCGCCTTGGTAATAAGTTCGCTCCGTGCACAATTGAGTTGGTGTGCGAGCGCGGTGGTTCGAGGCCTAAGCATTATTTGTCATGGGTTGGTCATCTTCGGGAACGGGTGTAGCTCCGACTGGGGCGGTGGCTGGTACTTGAACTATTGGAAGCAGCTCTTGGACGGGTGCGGCCGGTGGGTCTTGAGCGGGTGGGGCATTTTCCTTCCCTTTATTGAGGAATCG